ATAAAATAAAGAAAGAAAAATGGGATTTTTTGATTCAGGAAGCCACACTCTTCGATTCTGAACTTCTTGGCTTCCTTCGATTTGGGCCTGGAGTCAGCAAGGTCATATCTTTCGATTTCACCCTTTGCCTGTTCCTTTCGATTGGGAGCTGGAAGGCAGCGTGACCATCCTTCTGGCTACTTCTTTCATTTTGAGACTTGGCAGTCAACATAGACATCCTACTGGCTACTTCCTTCGTTTGAGGCCTGAGGTCAACGTGAGGTACACTCTTTGTCTCAGGCTCCTTGTTGCCTCCTTCGATTGCAGGAATGATAGGCCCTCAGGTTGGGATTCAAAAGGCTTGAATACTTAGCCAAACGAAGGGTACAAAGAACCTGTTTTAAACTTTTAAAATGCAACATTCAAGTGTAACTTTCAAAAGCTACATGCCAGGGGTTAGCACAAAATTATTGGGTCTCAAAGTCCAAAGCCTAATTAGTCAGAGTTGAGATTTTCAATACATGGGCAGTCAGAATCGGAGGTTAAAACATGGTCAATCTCCCTATATGAAATATCAACATTTTTTCTTTATTGGCATGTGCACATGATATTTAAATGGAATATTTTAAAGTTTAAAAAGAACTTACCTCTTGAAGTTCTTAAATCGAAGGAAACTGCAAGTGTCTTCCTTGGTGGTGAATGGAAGTTTGTTGGGGCCTTCCTGAGACTAGTCTAGTTACTACCTTGCTTGGGTAGTCACTGAATCAAAGGAAGGGTATGTGAGTGAATCGAAGGTTACTAGGTAAGGGAGTGAATCAAAAGATTTTTATATTGTGGTTGGGGGAGTGGGTCGAAGGTTAGCTCTCTGGTCACTTGGGGAGTGAATCGAAGGATTCACTTAGTGTACAAAAGGGACTGATTTTTTTAGGATTTTTAGGAATATTTAAAGAAAAACGTTGGATGAATGTTTGAGAGTTTTTGAGAAATTTTCTCACAGGAGTTTTCTTGCAACTATCCAGGGGCCCCTAAGATGTGTGGTGGAGGCTCATATTTATAGGAGATTTTGGCTGATGTTTTAGAAGGGAAAATAAAAAGTTTAAACAAAAAGAGCATGATGTTCTTGTAGCTTTCGAGGGATAGTGTTTGTATGCCATTTTGGTGCAAGAATGGGGCAGTGTTTCAAGACTGTTGTGCAACAGTTTTGGAGTGTTATGGTCAGTGTATCAGACTTGAACGTGGCAGCGCATGGGACTTGGTCATCAAATACCTCTGAGCATATCAACCTTTTTTTTACCCTCTAGCCATATCCTTCGACCAGACTCCTCAACAACATTTCCTTTTTTCAAATCAAAGTGTCATTCGAAGGGCTCATATGGGTATCCATTGAAGGGGCCCAAATGGGTGTCTTTCGACCAGGCCTTTTGTGGGTTCCTTCGAATGGTCCAAATACATGCTCTTGGGGTGGATCAACAAAGCACGTCATTCGATTGGGACATCCAAACATGTTTGGCAAGTCCTTCGAATGTGCCACCACAATACTTCTTTCGCACGAGACAATGGCACAGTGTAGAATTTGTGTGTTGAAGCAAACTATTTCCAAATGAGATACTGTCTACTCAAACTTGCCTACAAGGGGTCATATGGCCAAACGAAAGGGTGTATGCAAAAACTTGTACTGAAGGATTCACACACCCTAAATGAAGAATGCATGCAGAGGATAAAGGGAACAATTGAAGCTTGCAATAAAGGAGAGACATGTGCCCCAAACGAAAGAGGCATGCAGGAGGCAAAATGTGCAAACGAAGCTTGCAATAAAGGAGGGCCACATGCCCCAAACGAAAGGGGCATGCAGGAGGCAAAATATGCAATCAAAGGAGACCAGAAAAGAGGCCTTTGCCTCCTGAATCGAAGGATATCAATCAAGAGGCTCTTTGCCTTGTGGATTGAAGCTAGTTGAAGATAAGTGTTGCCCTGTCGAAGCTTGCAACAAGTTGTTTCAAAGGGTGACTTTGGCCTTGTGCATGCTAGCATGGTGGGGAATTCTGCCTTGTAAATTTTGGCTAACATGCAGGAAAGAGGCTATATGGCCAAACAAAAGATTTGCACGAAGGGAATAAAATGTTCAAATGAAGTCCAGTGCCCCAATGAAGCAGGAAATGAACTTTCCCAAAAGAAGTCTAGTGCCCAAACGAAGGGTGCAACCAAAGCTTACATCGAAGGAGTCAAAGTGCCCAATCGAAGGATGTAAAATCGAAGAGAACTTGTTTTTCTTTTAATTTTGTCAAAAAGAATATTTTCATCTGCTTTTCCCTTTTTTAGAAATTTCCTCTTTTAACTTGATGCTGAAAAATCCAATTGTATTTGTGTAAGCTTGAATTTTTGAGAATCCTTGTGAGAAATATCTTGAGAAATGAGAGGGAAAATTTTGGGGTACAACAACAACAAATGTTGTCATGTTCTATGTCAATGTTAATAAGTTTTATATTTTTATAATATTAGGTGCGGTGCATCCCGATAATATTCTCAAACCTAATGTGTCTCAAGTTGTTTCACCTCTCATATATCCTATCGTAACTAAGGTGATAGATATTCGTGAGTATTTTGAAAATAGAGAAGGGTTTGAATTATGTGAAGACATGATGCATTGGATTCATATAAAGGCTACAAAACTAGGATTTAGTGTTGTGATTGGAAGGTCCGATAATGGTATAGATAGAAGAAATGTATTTGTGACTTTGACATGCGAAAGAAGTGGGAAATATATCTGTCGTATCCAAAAATTGAAACGTGATGACAACAGTTCAAGAAAATGTGAATGTCCATTTAGGTTGCATGGTTATCTGTTGGAAAATAAGAAATGAAGATTTAATGTGATATGTGGTTTACACAACCATGATTTAAGTCAAAAGTTAGTCGGTCATCCAATTGCATGCTGACTCCTTCCATATGAGAAGACATGTGTTTCTGACATGACTTTGACCTTGGTATCGCCCAAAAACATACTTGCAACCTTGAAGCGCAAAAGACCCGAGAATACATCAAATATCAAGCAAGTTTACAATAAGCGTTATCAATCCAAATTAGCGATTAGGGGGGATCGAACCGAGATGCAACACCTCTTGAAACTTTTAGATGAAAACAGTTATGTTTGTAGGCCCCCACGAGGTGACAATGAGGTAACAATAAGATATATTTATTAGATTCATCCTGACTCCATTAAATTATTCAATACGTTTCCTATCGTGCTCATAATTGATTCAACGTATAAGACCAACAAATACAGGCTTCCATTGTTGCAAATTGTTGGTGTTACATCGATTGAGAAGATGTATTTTGTTGGTTTTGCATTCCTAGAGTGCGAAAAAGAGGACAACTTTGCATGGACTTTAGAGGCTTGTAGGTCAATATTGAAGGATCAAGAAGATATGTCAAAAGTCATTGTTACTGACGATAATTTTTTTGGCTCATTTAAGTAGTTAGGTATCATTTTATTGTATGTGTCATTTTGTTCATGTATTATGCTATGCGGATATAGCCATTTTGTAATTTGACCAAAAATACCATATTTTAATACATGAGGATTTTGCATTTATATCTACTTCTGTTCCTGTTTCTGTTTTATTTCTGGTTTTTTACTCCTAGGGGACAAACCGAAAATATAATTTTGATTTCTATTAAAATATAACCAAAAATGAAATTCCGATTTACACTCTATAAGAAGATAACATTTATATGGTTCATGTTTGCCTCCAACTACTATAAATAAGTTCACCTGACTTATTGTTTCATACAAAAACACCAAAAAATAGAATGAACATTATTTGACATGTTGGAATTGTCCACTTTACTGGCGCTACACCATAACGACAATTTAAGTTCACACACTACACCCCTATTGAAGATGTGCGTGAAATATTACAGGACCTTGTATCTTATGGTGACAACCGCAAAGTTGCGAAGATTGAGTACCGCTCGCCATCCTTTGACAATGATGCGAAGCTTGTGTTCATCAACGCGAGCTGAAGAACAATGCTAATATACGAGCTATCTGAAATATTTTTACCAATTTTGAGGAGAAAGTTTCGATCGAGCTAGATGCAACTATTTCAAAATCGGTGGATGATATTATCATGATGTTGCAACGTTTACGTGGACGTTGATTTGTAATGTTTGATTTATGTTTAAATCCTTAATGTATTTATTATGTTTATGATATTAATTATATTTTGAGTTTGTGATATTAGTGTTGGTGTTATTCAATACTGTGTAGCACAAAACTGGAAATAAATGACCACGACAAAATCGAAAATATAATTCGAATTTCAATATATAATATATCGGTTTTTAATGCACACCAAAAATATACTTTTGATTTTAAAGGGCATATAAGGAATTACGAATTTGATTTTAAAGGGCATATAAGGAATTACGAATTGTACGCTAGAAAAACATGAGTGAATTAAGAAATCCCCAGAGAAAATGCTCGAGAATAGGTCATTATAAGTTTGAAGGACTTTGGTTAAAAGAAGAAGAAAAGACGAGATTTACAAAATCAGCAAGAAGGAACTGCATCTCTCATTCTGCAATGTTTGTTTCGAGATAGAATGTGCGCGAAAACAGTATTCTTCTCTCACTTCATCACATCACTAGTTTACCAATCGATCTATTCTCTTGTTTTTATATATTGATTTAGTTTTTGTATACACTCTGCTAGGGTTTGTATTCGGTATGAATTCGTAGGTTTTTTGTCGTTGTTATGCCATTACAATGATGTAGTTTTTTTTAGGGTTTAGGGTTCGTATTCCGTGTGAATTTGTAGGTGGTGGTTGTTGTCGTTGTTGTTATGCCACTACTTTGGTGTAGTCTTTGTATAGAAAATTATTTAGAAGATTAATGGCAGTCATTTCATCCATAAATCCGGGCCATTTCACTCTTTAAATAGTTCTTTTCATTCTTGTTTTCTTTTTCAGGATGATTGAAAATTGACCGAGTAGAACCAACATTACAGAGTAGCTTCACACATGGATCTCAGTGGCAATTCTCTTACGTCCGCCGCACCTGACGGGGTCAAGAGAAGAGTATGCTATTTCTATGATCCAGAGGTTGGGAATTATTATTATGGCCAGGGCCATCCCATGAAGCCACATCGTATCCGCATGACACACGCCCTTCTTGCCCACTATGGATTGCTTCAGCACATGCAGGTCCACAAGCCTTTTCCTGCTAGAGACAGGGACCTTTGCCGTTTTCATGCCGATGATTATGTTTCATTTCTTCGAAGCATAACCCCTGAAACACAGCAGGATCATATGAGACAACTCAAACGCTTTAATGTTGGTGAAGATTGTCCTGTCTTTGATGGCCTATACTCTTTCTGTCAAACTTATGCCGGAGGTTCAGTTGGTGGGGCTGTCAAGTTGAACCATGGTCAATGTGATATTGCTGTCAACTGGGCTGGTGGCCTGCATCATGCCAAGAAGTGCGAGGCTTCTGGATTTTGCTATGTTAATGATATAGTCCTTGCAATCTTAGAACTTCTTAAAAACCACGAGGTTTGTCTAACACTGGGATTCTTTTTGGTTTCTCATTTTATCTTCCTACTTTAGAGGTATATTCATTTTGTGGAATCACCTGTATGTTTTATACTTCAATATTCTTTGGGATTGTTTTTTGTTAAGTACCCAAGTTAGGTATTGTAGCTTAGATTAGCATGCTATACAACAAGCAATCCTTACCCCACTGGGGGTGGGGGTTCCGCTACATGGATCATATTTTTACTCAACTCATTAATCTCTAGATCTTTTTTAATAGTTTTTCTAGGCCTACCTCTACATATAGTGATTTGACTACCCTCCATTTGATCTTCTCTCATTTCTACAAAATCTACATGTCTTCTCTTTACGTGTCCTAAATTAAACCACCTAAGCTGGGTATTCACTGTTTTTTTTTTCCAACAAGAGTGCTTTGACTACTGATGCTTTGTGCTTGGCCAGAATATTGTTTAGTATTTAATTAATTAGTTTGGTCTTTGCCAATTTGAACTATTAGAGTGAATCAGCAATTTGTTTCCCAATTGTTTGTACACTAGTGTGGTGGTATTTTTCTTTAGTTTTTCTACAGTTCTTTCTTACTTGCTCTGGCTTAGCAATAAAATTGCTGTCTCCTAGTATAGTCTTTCATAATATTCTGCTGCAATGATGTATTACAAAAGTTCTAATCAGTGCTATCAATGGTGCAATATGGTAGCCCATGCAAAAATTGACATATAATCATGTTGGACAGCAATGCGGCTATGGAGGATTGTGCAATCAGTTACTGCAGTACTGCCTACTCATATTTAATTCTTATATAATAATTAGAGGATTGTTGTTTTATCGTGTTAATTATGCAATTTTATTTTTACCAAAAAATGGGACATCTAGTTAAGCCTGTTTTTTCAGCTGTTGGAAAAATGAAAGGCATAATTTAGTTTTTTATAGCACACACACAACAAGCCAAAAACCATTTATGATGTTCCCTATGGATAAAAAAATTCTTCGACAATGGCATATTAGGCTTTACAGCTTGATGATTTTGCTCATAACAAAATCAACTTTGTTGCCTCAGAGACTCGTAAACTCGTCTGGAAATATGAGCTGATCTTCAAGTCAGACAACCATGCTACTGCCCATGCTTTTGATCCTAGATTAGCATAGATGATTGGATCTACGGTAGAATCCCAATCATGCCAGTCTAGGTTCAAAAGCATGAGCTGCAATCCCTGGAATATTCAGTAACACTACAAGGGCATAAACTGTAGAAAGTTGATTTGGGAGGCGGTCGTTTTAATGTTTTGAACTTCTTAAGTGTGTTTGCATACTGTTGTTTCAGTTCATATTTTAAAATGCTAATGTTTCATTTGTTGTAGCGTGTTCTATACGTGGACATTGATATCCACCATGGAGATGGTGTGGAGGAAGCTTTCTACACTACCAATAGAGTCATGACTGTGTCTTTCCATAAATTTGGTGATTATTTTCCTGGTACCGGGGACTTGCGTGATATTGGATATGGAAAGGGAAAATACTACTCTCTTAATGTTCCACTTGATGATGGTATTGATGATGAGAGTTATCATTTGTTGTTTAAACCTTTAATCGGCAAAGTAATGGAAATCTTTAGGCCTGGTGCAGTAGTTCTCCAGTGTGGTGCAGACTCTTTATCAGGAGACAGGTTGGGATGTTTTAATCTTTCAATTAGGGGTCATGCAGAGTGTGTCAAATACATGAGATCGTTCAATGTTCCCCTCTTGCTACTAGGGGGTGGTGGCTACACCATCCGGAATGTTGCTCGCTGCTGGTGCTATGAGGTAATACATTGTTTGTCATTTATTTAATACGAGATCACTAATAAAAGGTAGCATGGTCTATCTATAGGGCTACGAGAGACCTTGGGTCAGGGTGGAATTATAATAGTGAAATTTCTATATTTTCTACGCCCCCCATTTTGCTGGTTTTCTGTTGTAAAAATTTCAAAAACCAAAACTAGTTTTTGTTTTGAATTCTACAAAATTCAAAACCCAAAACCAGTTTCAATTTTGAGTTATGAGATTTTCATAAACCAAAATCAGTTTCAAACATAAAATTTAATATTTATTATTAATGTATTTTAATCCAAAAATTCATATATTAGACTTGCAAAATAATTAAAATAAGGGTTAATAGTCATTTACCCCCTGCAATGTTGGCGAGTTTTGATTTACCCCCCTTTAAATTTTTTTTTTGATTACCCCCTGTGTATTTTTGGATACCCCTAAGCGTGTAAAAATGAAGGGGGTAAATAAAAAAAATATTTTACAGGGGGTAATATTTGCACTTAGGGGGCAAAAGACTTAGAATTTTTATATTTCAAGGGATCTATCAAATTTTTTTTTTTAAAAGAGGGTAAATCAAAACTCGACTATATTGCAGGGGTAAATGACTATTAACCCTTAAAATAATATAAATATATAATGTAGTTATTTAATAGTCATTTTTATAATAGTGGCTAAAAGTGGTAGTTTCAGCAAATACTTTTCGGAGCGGTCGGCGATGGTAAGAAAGGTAGTCGGTAGTGGTTACTGGTTAGAATGGTGGTAATCAGTATGGTGTTTTCCGGTGGTTAGAGTAGCGGTCAGAGAAGTAGTAGTAGGTAGTGGTCAGAGTGATAGTCGTGGGTGGTGACGGGTGGTGGTTGGTGGTGGTCAGAGGTGGATGGATTGGTGGTTTACGGTGGTGATAGTGGTGGTGGTCAGAGTTGTGGTTGGAGTAGTTGTAGGCTATTATTGGTGATGTCTTAGTTTTAAAACAAAAACATAAATTGTAAAACCTATTTTTTTAATTGAGTTATAGTGCAAAACAGTTTTGAAATTAATTAAAAAACCAACTCAACTCCATTTTTGCTGAACAATTTTTGGTTTCGCAATTGATTTTTAAAACCGAAAATAAAAAAACTTACAACCACCTCTTTCATGTTAATTGTAAAAAGTGCTAAACATGAAGTAACTCTAAATAAAACAGTAGAAGTAATGATGGTCAAGAAGTCTAAGTAGCTGCATTATCGTTTCCTTTTACTAGTCATGAAATATAAAATATCAATTGAGATATTATAAAGTCTCTCAATATGCATTGTGACTTGTCATGTAATTATTTTTCACTTATCGGTTTGTTAGTTGTGTTTTAATATTTATTTATAAATTTAGTCATTCTTATGTGTAAACTTTCATCCAAGTACATAAAATTTTATGTGTTATTTGTTAAGAAAGACTGGAGTTGCTCTTGGAATAGAAGTTGATGACAAAATGCCAGAGCATGAGTATTATGAATACTTCGGCCCAGATTATACTCTTCATGTTGCCCCAAGTAACATGGAAAACAAAAATACTCGACTTTTACTTGATAGTATCCGATCTAAGCTACTTGAGAATCTCTCAAAGCTGCAGCATGCTCCCAGTGTTCAATTTCAGGAAAGACCTCCTGATTCTGATCTTGGAGAGGTAAATTATTTTAACCAAAATTTCCCCAGTTGTTATCTTTATTTCACACATGCAGCATAAGATTAAGAGCATATTTTGTGCAAATATTTTCTGTTTTTATTTGCTCCGTTTTCTATTTTCAAAATAACATTTGTTTTCACAAATATTTGAATACAAGAAGACAAGTAAGACCAAATAGCATTTTTTTTTACTTCAAACTGAAATTATGAAATAGAAACAGAGTATGTTCTTGCGAAGCAAACTAGCCCTAAGAATTTCTTTTAGAATGCACTTATGCTGAAGCTAACCATTTATAGGGATTCCAAAAAGCACATTAATTTTAACTGTATTATCCGATGCAAAAGGAGTTACTAAAATACTTTACAGGAAAACTATCTCTAAACCAGAGCCAACATCCCCCTTCAAAGAATAATTTTGTCAAATACTATACTCAGGTCCAATGCAAACTCCTAAATCACCCTCCTTAAAGAATACCCCACTTTTTCTGCTACACTACTGGACACATCACTAACTCTCTGGCCCCACCTTCATTCTAGAATATATGATAGGAACCAAAATTAAATAGAAGAATTGAATGGTATTTGTACTGAGAGTTTCCCAACTTATTCTAACTATATTTTTCCTTTCATCATCCTGTTTGAACTTTGAACTCATTCCTTATTCACAATATTCCAGGAAGTTGAAGATCATGATGAGAGAGATGAGCGTTGGGATCCGGATTCTGACATGGACATTGATGTTGAACGGTATTTTACTTTATAACTGTATGCTAAATTTACTTATCATTAAGCATCATATGATCAGTGTGTCTTTTACCTCATTTATCAGCCATATTCTCCAAAGCAAAGTAAAAAGAGAAATTGTTGAACCTCAGCTCAATGATATGGTATGTGCATTTATCTTTTGAAGTATTTGATTAAAACTTATTATTTGCTTGTTGGGAGTCTAATATTTGTAGAACATATGATGTGTGTTGGTAGGAGTAGTATATAAACCAACCTGCCTTTACAACATTTTCAGACGATATCTAGAATTGTATTTGATACAATCTTAGATTCTTTAATTTACATACATATTAACAAATCAATAATAATAATACATTTGTTTGTCTGTGAGATGTTCTGTTTGAGTATATGACTTTATTACTGCTGAACTGTGCTTTGCCAGGCATAAGACTTAGTTAGAATGGCTGCTGGGCAGCGTGTCTCTCAAGACACAAGAATTAGTTAGAGAAGCTGCCTCATCGGCTTAAATTGATTTGTAACTGCCTCGGTTAGTTATCAGTGGGTGTATGATAAACACCACTGTTGGTTAAGGAATACCATGTGTATAAACAAATGTACTCTGATCTCTTTGATCAAGTTTTCACGATATTAAATACAGAATTTTTCCTATTGTTTTCTCTCTAAATTTCACTCTAATATGTTTTAATAAAAATCACTATCCTGGAGGAAATTCATCTGACCTTATTAATATCAAAACCCTACATACCTTTTTTTACAGTGCACAACTCCACATAATTTTGTTAATTTTTTAAGTTGTCCTATTTTTTGTTCAACTAACTGTTAAAGAGAAAGGAAAGGGGAAAACCTTGTCACTAGAGAGAAGAAAAATACTTCTACACTTTATCCCTTTGCAAATATGCATTAACTATTAATTTTTGAGTGAAACTTTATAAAAATTGGGCAGAATAGGTTCTATAACATTGTGTCATCATGTTGGACTGAAACTAAGCGCAACCTACTTTGTAACAATTAAGTATTCTGGGCATTTGTTATATGCCTTCGCGTGGGATCGAGTTTATGGTGCAAGTAAGAAGCAGACTTCTGCTTGACATAACCTTAACGATGATAGACTTGCAGAGGATGAAAATAAATGGAATTATACACGAAGTAGTAAGGACTCGGTCCGAACAGGCGGAAGTTGTAAAGGGGTTGAGATAGAGTTTGGGTTGGGGTGGAAAAATGGGACATGCTCAAATAAGGTAATATAAACTTACACCTGGTAACTGTAGAGACTAGGAGAGTAGTAGTGTTAACCCTATAGGGACTGGGTGTTCCAACATTTATGGAATTAATACATTTAAGTCACTTTTTAGTTTGTCCCCGAATGTTCTAATATATAATAAATCTTTGATCATTGGTTGACAATATAAGTTTCACATGTAGAGTTAGTGATATAATTCAATTACATTGATAAAATTGTATTTAGTGGGTTGCTGCCTATCAAGGAACAGTCACGAAGATGGATGAAAATTTCAACTAAGGGCTGAGATTCCCGTGTATACTTATTTGAGGAGTGTTTCAGCATTAGAGTCCGGAGACACAACTATAGAGGCTCTGGCAGCAACTGATGAGTAATTCCTCTATGAATTGCATTGTTTTGTGAATCCTCAGATTGCTAATATTCTCTATGCCTCTGTTGAAAATTATTGCATTAGTTTACAAATAAATTCTTGATATGGAAAATTATACAATTCGTAATACTGGCTTACCATGCCAGGAGGACCTGAGAAGAACTAGAGAGCAGTTGAGGGCCTCCGATACTGCAGTAGTTGAAACAAGCGGGAAGGTGACTTTCATATAACATAAGTGTTACAGATGCATATACATTAAATGTATGCAGATATAAGTATCACTGCATTTTTTAAATATAAATACTGTGGTTGTTATAGAACTTCTACTTGAATTTGGTTGTTGCAGGCTTTAGATATTTGTTCTAAGCCAACTGATGAAGATAGTGTGAAAGATGAAGAGAATACTGCGATTGATTTGGCCAGAGAGATGGATCTGAAGTGATTGGGGAGTTGTTTATTCAATGATCTTTTTGTGATGTCACATTTCCCAAAATAATTGAGATGTGGCCGTTGCTTGGTTTCCACTGCCATCATTGCTTACATGCCTATTGTAAGGCTCTATATCACATGACAAGTGGTTTCTTTACATTTTGTTCCTAAATAGTAAAAATAGTACTCCAGATAACGAGTAGGTTATAATGTGCTATAACGTGGGGGCTTTTTCATCTTCCTGTACTGATATTTCTGTTTCTGTCTATGAAACAAGTTGCATAAATACAGAATAGAATCATAAAAATTTGAAAGAAAAATAAAAGATTTTCTTAACCATCTTATTGGTGCGATGTCGATCACTAGTATCTATTGTGGAACTTAGCTGACTACTTTAGTGGAGTCCCCCCTCCCAATTAAGTTTTCTCCACAAGACCTAAATTTGAGAATTTGTTTAAGGGATCCAAGTCCAATTCTTCTCTAAGCAATATAGTGTTGGTAAATAAAAGAGATCTTCTTATTCCACCTTATAGTTTTATAGTTTTCAAGTGCTTTTCAAGTGCACCATGGGAAATTTTCAAAATACCCTTCAAAATTGGAAATATATTTCTGGGTTGTACCATGCTAAGAATAAAATTTATGAAAAAGTTGTATGCAAATTAGAAATATATTTTCGGTTGCATCCCAAACACAAATATGACATAGGAATCTAAGTTCTAGGCAAGATAGCAATCAGAATTGTAATTATGGTATAAATCAAAAATATATTTTCGGTTTGGGTTGCGATTTAAAGGCGCGCTACCTCTTCCTTTCTCATTACATATACGTTTTCAAAACAACAAAAACATAACACACTCAAACACCCATTTCTCTCAAAAACCATTGTTATAAAATCAAACACTTTTGTAAAAAATTCGTCACAAATTGTCAAGCATCAGTTAACTCAAATGTTCAACCTTATTCAATTAAGAAAAGTCAACAATTGTAAGTTGTTTTTGAACTTTTTAGAGTTTATATAATTTCTAATCAAATTACTGATGTAGGTTCGAAATTGTGATTTTGTAGCGTGTTTTCAATATTAGGAATCATTAAAAATGTGTTGGTAATCTCATTTTCATGATCAATGAGCTTTTCTTGAGGTCTTTTAGGGGGTCTAATTCGCCATTGACGGACCTCTACAATCGCAGGTAGAATCGGAAACACATTTTCGGTTTTCAATTTAACATTGAACAAAATCGACAATGCATTTCCAGTTTTAGACTGTACATGAAATATATTTCGTATGTTAACGTTTGTTTCGTACTTCTACGGGAGTAATGACTTAGAGACCATCTAGATTGAGGTACAACAGGCTTGCACATCATGCTTCTGTGCAGAGGGAAATAAGTCAGGCATCCCAACCTTCTACTGTCTCTGGACAGGCCGTACCAGATGCACCTACTACAACTTCAGCTTCCGATGTTCTTGTTTCTACTCTGAATACATGTCCTCCCGCGGCAAACAAGATTCTCCAGTTCATCCCTCACCGCCCCCTTCCTCCCGTAGACGCACTTCCTCATTGCGGGAGAGACATCTGGTTCCCAGCCGACACCATCTAGTTCCTAGCCACAATCTGCATTGCAAGCTCATGCATAGACGACACCTGAGGTGGCACCCCAGACATCCCAGACACCTGAGGCAGCACCTGCGGGCCAGCTAGCTCAGACGACGATTTTGGAGGAGGATCGTTTGATTTATCTCTGTTGTCTTTGTACCCGGACCATGTTGCTAGATATATATGAGACAGAGAGGTATGAATTTTGAATTTTGAATTTTGAATTTTTGATTTTTGATTTTTGAATTGTTCATTCTATTATATTTTTATTATGGATTTTTGTTGAAGGAATTTTGTCAAACGGTTTATGCAGGAACGTGATCCGCTGAAGGTCACGGGCGAAAGATCAGTAAAATCATGGGCGAAAGATCAGTAAAATCGTACCTCCTGTTGAGCCATGGTTTAATGAGCTGTTACTGCTTATATGGTTGAAAGATTTGACCAAGTGCGGATACAACATCATTAATTGGGGTATGATTAACGCTTTTGTTAAGATGTGACACTATGAGACATCGTCGTTCCTTCTACCACACGGTGAGATGACAATCACACTAGACGACATCGCGTGTCTGCTGCATCTTCCGTTCAGAGGGACATTTTTAGATCATGAGAGGATTAACAAAGAGGAGCGTTGCATATGTTGGTACAGAAGTTGGGAGTTACCCCTGAGAGTGCCATGAAAGAGATTGACACTACCCGTGATAATCACGTCAGATATAGTTATTTGAAGAAGGTGTTCACAGATGAGCTAGCGCGTGCACGATAGGCTGATGGTGATCTCAAGCAGGTTACCATACACATGAGGTTTGCTATGGGAGCGTACCTTTTATTTCTGGTTGACACACAAATTTTTGTGGACACTAGTGCCACTTACACAGATGTCATGTATTTGCAGTACTTTGATGATTTTGAGACGATCCACCAGTGGAACTGAGGGGCTTTGGTCTGCTTGTGTACGAAGTTGTCTGAAGGATGTAAGTAAAATACGAGACAAATGATCGGCAACATTACACTCCTGACGGTATGATTTCCTGGTCTTTGTGGCATTTTGTTAATTATCGTGATTCTCGAACAAACTATTAATTTTTGTTATTTTAGGGTTGGATCCTACAACACTTTCCCCGCATCTTGGGTTGGTCACTTGCTACAAATTATACTGAAGATAAGTCGCGTGCCGTTGTATATGACCCGCTTTGAGGGAATCAGGAGATAGAGCCGTTCCAGGTGTATATTGACCGACTGGTGTATGAGGACATACACTTCCATTCATACGTAGATCACTGTGTCATGATACTATTTGACGAGGTTGCGCTGTTTACAAGATGGTTGGCCTGCAGGTCGCGCAAGACAGCTGCTTATATGTCTGAGTCCGTGTTCGTCAGTTCGGGTACACCCAGTGCATCCCCGAGATCCTATTGTATTTTCTCCTCCGATGGTGAAACAGAGAGAGATGAATGAATTTTTTGATGATTATGAGAATCATCTTATTTCAGATGAGGCCTGGAGTACCTTTGCTCCAAATGACCAGAGCTACGAGGACGATTATATCTTATGGTTCTTCTGGGTGTCCCATCCATACCTGGTACATGATGCTTCAGGAAACCCACTAAGGCCAACTCATCAGGAGATTTTAGAGGAGGATGAGGATATGGTCAATCATGCCATTGATGTGTTGCTCAGGTTTCGTCGTATCATGGAGATTGCGTAGGAGGGTATTGATGGAGCTCTGCTTCTTGATGGATCCAATGTTAGAGGTGTTCTGGTTGCCATCGCAGTGGAGGCTCTGCAGTACATGAGGCATCTGAGGGACGCCGAGAGGGTGACATTGTAAGTTTATGAGTGCACCTAAGAGGGGAGGGGGGGTGAATTAGGACTTTGAAAATTTATCTGGTTTTTAGAATACTTGTTCTTATTTTTCTAGTTTGGTGAAGGAGTTTAGAGATGTGATTCTTTTCTTTTCTTGTTATAATTTGTGATGAAAGCGATAAATGCAGAAAAGTAAAGAACACAAGGATGTATCCTGGTTCCCCTCACAGTCCGAGAGTACTCCAGTCTCCTTTCAACACGAAAGAGATTTCATTATTGTTAGATCTCTAGGCAAGACACCCTAGTCTTTCTATACAAGACTCTAACCAATAAAACCACTAAGAACAATCCTCTTGGATTCTCACTAAGTACACTAAGAGAACAATCCTCCCTTAATGACTTTCTTGCTTTCAACAATCCTGGACAAAAAGATACAACTAAAGAATTAGAACAAGAAAACAATCCTTTCCTTTCTACTCACTTGTTTCCAACAATAATGGATAACAAGATTTTACAAACCAAATCTGAAAATTATTTGAGTAATGAAGTTGATGAATATTTGTCAATCTCAATGATTGATCTTCTCTTTCAAGTAAACACTTATGAATATTATACACAACTGCTCAAGAATTATGATGTTGAAACTTTATGAAATATGAAAATGATATGTGATAAGTTTCAAACAAAGTTTAAGAAACAATACACTTGTATTTGAAAATTGAGAGAATAATGTGTTTTAATTGTTTTGAATGAGGCTGTTTTTGAAATATGAAATATGGATAATTAATACGAGTATTACACCCTTTAGAAAAAGTATATTTTGATCAAATAATGCAATGATTCATGGTACAAAAAAAATCGTTTGAATCAAAATATGCATGAAAAAGTGCTACTGGTTCAGTGGTAACCGGCTATCATATATGGTGTAACCGGTTACCTCACTGGTAACGTTAATATTTTTCAAAAACAATGTTCAGGTAACTGGTTACCTTGATGAAGTAACCAGTTACTTCACTGAAAGTTTGCAAATATACGTAAATCACTAGTTCTGCCAAAGTTGATGTAACCGATTACCTTAATGAAGTAACCAGTTACTTCACTAAAAATTTGGAAAAAGTCTTTTTAAAATTTGTTTGAAAGCCAATGCATATGAAATAAATTGTGTGCATGCATATGAATAATATTTTAAGTAATTTTTGAGCACCTAAATATCAATATGATAGAATTGCTTGCTTGTACCTCAATGATGTGATCAACCATAAAAATTCAAAATTAGTCTTCATAAAATGAGAGATTTGAAACTTCATGCTTTAACTTTGGCTTGAGGCTTTTACCATTATTTTGCTATGAACATTTGCTTCTAAATTTGTCTTCATCAAAATTAATATTTGGAGAGGTTTGACTTCACATTCTCCCCATTTTTGATGATGACAAACTATTGAAAGTTGATATGCTTGAATCTTTTTGAATAAAAGAAAACTCTTATGTGAATGCTTCCTCTATCTTTGACAACTCTCCCTTGATCAAAGCTCTCCCTTTATTTAAGAAAATTTCACATCTTTCTTTGGACTGCAATAGTTAGAGACAAGAATACATACACATATATATCTTAT